AGCGCGCGTGCCAGTCTGTCTATCCTCCCCATACGCTCAATGGTGTACCTCCTCCTATACACCCGCAACATGCACTCCTCCTCTGAAACCAGTCCTTCGGGACCACGGTAGTGAGCCAATAGGCACCACTGGCTTCTCGATGCATATACCGGTGCGCCTGCGAAATGCAGTGCGCGTCGACGCTCGTGGGTAGCGGAAGGCACTCGGTCCCTCGCCACTTTGCTCGAATATAGACAGACCAGGCCGCATTACAGATAGTGCTCGTTTCGTAGATGGACAGACGCTTGTAGGTGGATAAGGCTGAGGGGAATTATTAGACTAACCCTCGGAAGGATGTTCGAAGCCACAGTCCGTGATTGCTCGTACGAGCTCGTCCTTGAGCAAGAAGTCGCGGAAACCGGTCGAGTGGATGCCGACGTAGCTGCCCTTCTTGTCGCCTGCAGCATCACCGGCGGTGACGCCGCCCTTGCTTGCAGCTGCGCTGCCGTTGGCGGGCGCATCAGTCGTCTGGATCTCCTCGTCGGAGTAGTCGATGAGATCTTCCTCGTGAGACATGATGGATTATGTGTCTGTGTAAGAGTGTGTGTGGTGTGTAGAGTCGGTGATTGCGCGTGTCGCAAGCAAGGCTGCCAAACAAAGTGGAGTCGCGACGGTACCGAGGCGAGGTATTATACTAAGAGCTACGAGTAGAAGAGATCAGCAGTTGTTTCGCGATTTCACGTAACGCGAATTCGACGAGGTTGCTGTGGCTTGAGAGGTTCGTGGTGGGCGGTGGACAAGAGCGGTCGCCGCGCTGATGTCGAGGTAAAAAGCTCGGGGCGCCTTGCTGGGCGCGCGCTAGGCCGCAAGCGGACTGCTCTGAATCACGACCCACCACTGCAAATCCTCTGACCTTCTATCATCTATCTGTGAAACCGTAATTTACGTAGCAGGCCAGACGACAATACAGCGGCGCATCATGAGCAAGGTCAAAGCACCAAAGACGAAGGGCATTCCGAACAAGCATCTGCACGCCCGCTCGACTTTTCTCTACCAAGCAGCCACATATCTGACGCTGCAAACGGCTACGCAAGAGGACGTCGCAGCTTGTGTCGCACGAGACAAAGATGATCGATCGTTCGAGACCCAGCGACCTTCGCCGTTGGCACTCGAACTCGGATCCGATCTTCAACAGGTATCACGGAAAGGCCAGCTACGGCTGGCTGTCGACTTGAAGCGCTCCATGTGCAAAAGTTGTAATACAGTCCTTGTTCCTGGACGCACTCTTACTCAAAATATTGAAAATCCCAGCAAAGGCGGTAAGAAGCCTTGGGCAGATGTACTCGTCATCACTTGTCTCATTTGTGGCGGAAAGAAGCGGTTTCCAGTGGGCGCAACGAAACAACTCAAGAAGGCCAAGAGGATCACAACGCATACAAGTTTGTTGTCAAAAACTGCTTCGGAAGATGGCCAATGCTCAGAAACTACCTTTGCGACGGGTATTGACTGACTTGACGTCACGTTGTGGTTTATTCCACTCATTTGCTACGTGCCACGCCGGAATCGCTCAATCGAGGAACCCATGAAGGCCTCCGGAACTCTCGAATCGATTCACCAGGGGAAATCCGAAAGCTGCTATGGCTCAGACTGCTCAGATCAAAGTGAAATACACAGGAGCATTTGCCGCCTCTCAACTATGCTCGCTCCACGCACGTCCAGTTACGCCACGAGAGGATCTAAAGTTTCGCCTGGACAACTTCTCCAGTCAAAAAGCCGAGCGAAAACATTGCATGAGAACAACTTGATCTTCACCAACCGTTCTCCTCAACGTAAACGGTCATGGATAGTCAAGCTCCCAAGGAAAGCATCTCGCCTCTCCAGTCTCTGCCACAAGAGATCCTGTCAAGCGTCTGCAGTTACCTACCGCAAGGGGCTCTCTACCAACTAACCCTCGTCAACAAAAATATCGGTCAGCGCGTAGTACCAGCCCTGTACAGTTCCTTCAGCCAAAATGGAGGCGACAGCATGCAAGTTCGACAGTACTTCAGAACCGCGGTGCGGGAGCCTGAGTTGGCTGAGCATCTTCGCGAGGTTACTATTCAGGGCTCTATCGGGATAACCCACAAGCAAATGCGGAAATGCCTCCAGAAATTGGACAAAGATACCTGGGCTCGTCGGCTTCACGAACAACACCCCCGTCTCGCTTACGATTACTTTTCGTATGGACCGGACTTGGCCATTGCTCTGTTACTGAGCTTGGAACCCAAGATACACTCTATTCGTGCTCTGCATCCTCCGAACCCCATAAAGAAAAGGAACTCATTTAAACTCCCCATCTATCTCGAACCCATTCGAGGCATTCTAGCAGCAGGCTCTCCACTGCCGCAATGGACCAATTATTTATCCACGTTAGAGATCACCCTTCGGACCACATCATGGCAGTGTATTGCCCCGCTGTTCCAGCTACCGGTACTCAAGACGCTGATTCTAAGTGGTGGAGGTGGATTCCACATGGCTACTGAGAATATGGAAGCTGCGATTAATTCATCACCGATCGAAGTACTTGACTTTGAAAAGTGCGCGGTCCCATTGACGACCATTGCACAAGCTGTATCTGCTTGCAAGTCACTGCGTGTCCTACGACATAGCGACTGCGACCATTGGGCAGCACCTCATCATTTGCATTTACTCCAGCAGTTACATGAGCATGCGAGCACTCTGCGCACCCTCAAGACGTGCTGCTGGCATGCCCCCAAGAGCACTTCGACTGACAATGGGATCTTGGCCAGCTTCATTGCTCTGATCGAGCTCGAAGTGCACTACTCTCATGCCGCGGATGATCTCCTGCCACCAAACCTCTGTCGGCTCGTCATATGCGCAACTACCCGCGACCGAGTATGCATCATGGAAGACATGGAAACACTAGCGCAAAATCTCAGCAAGCGATCAAACATCGACGTAACACTGAAGTATCGGCACTACAGGAAGCCAGACTACGAGCTTCCAAAACTACGCGAACTGCCATCCGTGTTCGCCAAGTCTGATCTTAACCTGTCGCTTTACGTGTATCCTGTTGTCGGCTCATCATGTAAGTTGCCCGCAGTAACGTTCCTTTAGAACGAGCTAACAGTCAGAATAGGGTACTTGATCGCCAAGTTCGATCACCGCGCTGCATGGTTGTCGCAGAGACCTAGCGAAACAGGCGCAAAAGAGTTGAGAGCTTGGTCGAAGCGATTAGATTCGACGTACGATTACCGGGAGATTGTGCTCGCGGAGATCAAAAATATGGTCGGAAAGCACGAGAACCATTGGAAGAGCAAGGACTACGATCTCGACTTCATGCTACCGTATCTGTTTAGAAATCTGTACAAGGTCTGAGGAGAGTAGTCAGTTGACACGAAGATGCGAGAGGAAGGATGTATCTGTCACGAATGGGAAGGTGGATTGGAAGAGTAACGAACGGTAGCTCTTTCTCCAAAATGGACCTCGCTTCAAACACATCACCGGCGCTATCTCTACGGTCATCCTCCTGGTTACCTCCACCACCTGCTACTCACCAATTATTCCCAACTGCTCGTGAAAATTCTAATACCGACTCACAAAACCCGCATCGCCTTGACCTACCAACCTTCCACCCCCAAACCCAGGTTTTCTACATCTCGACCACAGCACTCTCTCATAACGAAGACCATGGCATCGAACAACTCCTGTAACGGCGACGACGTCAACCCCCCAGCTTACTCCAGACTTCACGAGGACCATCACACCGACGGAAGCGCCCGCAAGAACAGCAAAATGAAGAGTGCGATCGAGCTCTGCATCCTCATTCCCGTCTTAGCCATCGTAGTTCCACCCGCGATAGTGCTCAACGTGGGACGATTAGTCGTAGGTGAGTAAACGACCATATTGCACCTTTTGTCACGACCCTGTTGCTGACTTAGTACCTAGAATCGCTTGTAGAAGTTAAGTGGTCAGTCAAAGACCGGAACTATACGCAAAGGGAGCAAATGGCTCGAAGGACGCTAAGGATGGATGCTCGGCAAGCGACAAGATGAAGCTGGTACTTGAGTGAGCAGAGGAGAGGAGGTGAACGGGTTGTGCTCTTGATTCAGCTTCCTCTGGTAATGCTGTGTCAGATTAGTCTTCCTCGATACGGTGATACATTTCTTTGACGGAACGAGCCCTGAGACCCGTATGAAGATAAACATCAGTATTGCTTTGTACCTAGACTGCAATCAAGACGCTTAATTGTGCAAGTAAAGTCTATTCTACAATTATCGCAAGAGCATTGTGCTGTATTCTCCATTCGGTTCCCCTTCACCACTCACCACTCATATCTCACTGATCGCAAGTACTCCAGCACTGTATCACAAATCGCCCATCGTCTTACCCTACCAACTTCCCGTCACAAACGCAAAGACTTCGCAGTCCATCTAAAACACCTTCCCAAAACACCAACTTTGGTCTTCGACAAATCCTGGCATGACCACAACTTCTCATCCTCAACTGACTTCCACTCCCACGAGAAACAGTACACCAACAAGAACTTCCGCAGAGCTATCAGCACGATGGTTGCGTTCAATATGTGCACACTCCTTCTGTGCCCGGTGGGATTCTGTGTGGAAGGCGTGACTAAAGGTGAGTTAGATACCGTCGGGCCTATTAACTCGCCCTCTCCTGCTGACATTCCATCCAGGTTCCCTTGCAGCAGCATGGCAGTCGACGATAGGAAACGTGCTTGTAGGAAGTGTTTTCTCTTTCCTCCAGAGCGCTGGAGCCGGTGGACAGCAAGTCTTCAAATAGTTCGTCTGAACGCCATGACGGATCCATACAAGCTGGCCGAAGAAAATATAAAATGGCCAGTCCAGAAGCGGTCTTCGTCAGTCTCGACGCTCATACTCTACGGCGTCGACATCCCGTGTACATGGACGAAGCTCATGATCACTTCCTGCAAACAGCTCTCAAGATTTGAGTATGCCGGTCCGAAGTATCACGGGTCAACATATATTCTACCGAACATCATGTCTGGTCTTGAGCAGCAGCAAGACTCGCTGCGGGTTCTGCACCTTGCTCCAAAAGATGACAACTGTCGGGATGAGCCTGATCTGACCCACGCGCGCGTCGATAGTTTCCACCGATTACATGCCCTGGAGAACCTCTCTACATCATTTCGAGTACTGCTTGGTACACTACCTATGAACTATACCGACGAAGGAAATTGGAAATACCCTCCGATGCGGGATATACTTCCCCATGGGCTACAAGAGTTGTTTCTGTCTACAACGGCTACGATGGTATCCCACAACTACCATGATGGTTATTCCGATCTCTTCAGCAGCGCTCTTCCCCTACAAGCAAATGGTCTATACTTGAAGAAGATCCGCGTAGCATACTCAGACATGATCCCAGGCGCTCATTCGTTGCCCTTCAATTTCTGGGATATCAAGAAGTCATACGTTGCACACGGAGTGAAGTTTGACTACTCTATATCCATCAGCGCAGATCGAGATGGTACGTGAGCCTTCAATCCAGCCCTTCCCGTTCATCCATTTACCGCAAATGCTATTAGCAAACGTTCGGGTATCGGCATTACTTTGTGTCAACGTTTGTCACTGGCTTGACTTTATATCACTAACGCTTTTACATAGAGCCGGGACTATCTCTTGCAGATGCGCACATTAGCGATATGGTTTCCATGCTCAAGAGTTACGGGCCGAAGGCAGTCGAAATGGCTCATCACTTCAGTTGTTTCGGAAGCCAAATAGTGCAGAAATTGCTATCTGAACTAGGCTATCCCACAGATTGGATAAGCAGCGAGGCAGGCCGGAAGTATATGTTCGTATCGTGAGCTATTTATAAGATTAGCATCACTAGCAAGACCCTGGTTCTCCGATTTCCTTCATCCTGCTGAGTAAGACCGATGCTTGTTGGGGTATACGAAAAGCTTAAGTTTTGCTTATTGAACGGGACCATCGCACCGAGCCGGACGTCTCCGTTCTGTAACGTAGCATCGTATGCCTGAAGATCTCCCGTGTCAGACGTATTCTTGGGTGAAGCAACGACCTATATCCCCGTTCCTTCCTTCCAATACACCAGCACTCAAACTATGACGTCGCAACTACTACATCCACACTTCGTCTCACTAACGGAATCCCGCTCCGAAAAACACAATCCCATCTGCAAGCGAAAACCCTCATCGCAGCCCAACCCCACGCAGCGCCACAATGCCCTCAGGTACATGACACTTGTACCTCCATCTCCACCACCAGAACCCACAATCTCGTTCTTTTTTCCCACATCGACGATGAAAGAGCGCATCGCATGTGATGTATGTATATACAATGTTCTAGTGTGTTTCCACGCACAGCCCACCCCAATTAAATATATATTGCGAGCATACACCAATAGCGCCGTTTTCGCGGATCAGGTACCTATATCAGCCGGTTGTTATTACCACGTGAGGGATTGCGCACCTTGGCGATCGGACGGTATGGACTATGTGGGGCCAAGACTACCGTGCGCCGTGTATGTGGTAGTGTGTGTGGGATGTAGTGGGTAGGTACTACTTGCGAGGATGGTGGGTGCGATGGTGGGATCTGGACCTTTGGGGCGGCTGGTGAGCCGGCTGTGTGGTAGGTGGTCGATATCGTTATCTGAGACTTGTATTACCACCGAGATATGGGATTTCGTTTTGCTGACTGTGTTATTGGATTACGTTGATGTCACATGCAAAATTGGTCGAAGGTTGAGGTTGATGTGATGATGCTGTTCCCTTTTTTTGCTATTTTGCTTCCATTGCAACTGACTTGAAAGTGAATCAAGAAATGCCCTTTGTCTACCCAATGCACCTCTAAGAGAAAGTCCAAAAAACTCCGTCCGCAAGATGCGCAATGCCGCTATATTCCCTAACATTCTGTAGCACATATCTCTGTACTGTGTTGAACCGACCCGTCTCCGTCTAAGATTGAGTTCATGCCGAAACTCTAAAAGTCCCAAAGTGTACCGAAAGCATGCATGCCCTCCTTGGCACACCCCTGCATCATCTCATCGTTGCCCTGGCTGTTGCTCGTAATGAAGATGACCTCAGCGCCGAATCTCTTCCACGTATCTCTCAACAACTCCATTGTGTCCGGGCGGCCGCCCCGCTTCTTGCTGTCCCAGAGGATCATGCGCTCGGGCTCGATGTGCTTGTGGATGAGACCTGTGACGGTGGGGCCGAAGGTGCGCTCTTGGTCAGAGCCGATCCAGATGAGGAACCAGTTGGGAGATTGGATGCAGGTGGAGAGGGCGGCGCCGATGCCAGTACCGGTGCAGATGCGGATGCCGCGTTTGAACATTGCAGAGGCGTGGCCGACGCCGGCTGTCAGTGTGTTAGCAATGGAGATGCAGGTGGCGTTGTGCAAGAACATACCGAACTTGAGCTGTCTTGTCCATACGGTCTTTGGTGGATTGGCGACAAGGTTCTTGGTGAAGTCTCCTTGAACACCACAAATCATGTAGTGATGAGTAGCATTGCGTCCCTCGCTGATGATGCCGAAAGCGTGGTACTCCATGATGGACGTGCGGCTAATTCGTCCCAGAAGACCTTGCTGCATGCCGCGCTCGAACTTGAGGACAGCGACTTTTGGTGAGGGGATCTCGACTTCGACTGGCACCTCTCGGAGGGTGACCCATGGTATGAGGATGCTACAACCGGTCAGTAGGAGAAGCTGATAGAAGTATGAGCGCTCTTACAATACTGTCATGAAGACAGCGAACCATAGCTCTTGTGCACTGAGTAAGCTGTGGGCGTCGGTCCTCCACTCGCCACGCTTGATGTCGTAGGTGTTGCCCAGGACCACGAAAACCCATGTCATCTAGCGAGCGTTAGTATGAGTTCTCGGAAGAACGCAATCGGGCTGCATACTGCGAGGCCTAGCCATCCAACAAAACGGTGATGCTTCTCGAAAACATTGTGATAGGTGCTGACCAGGGCGTAAGCATGGTGTCACAGAGTTACACGTCCGTTGGAACTACTCACTTGCGAACCCAAGGGAATGCGCTCAGGACCGAGATGATGATGAAGACGTTGGTGATGATACCGCTAGCGATTACAGCAGGGTGCTGTACGGCACGATATCTGATGATGTCGACGCACTTGTAGATGAGCCAACTGGGCTTTCTGTTAGTCCTATTTGCAATGGATGTATGCAGGTCTACTTACGCAGCCCCAGACAATGCGCATCCAGAATGTATTCCCCCGACGTGCTGCAGGACGGATGTTGCAGCCAGCTTCACGCATACTGGTGCCCACTACGATGACTGGTCAGAAAGACTCGTGATAGAGACAAGGGAAGTACATACCCCTAGTCCGTATATGGCGACCATGTATAAGAAGCGCATCCATAGCTCGTTTCTGAACAAGATGGCGGAGAGTAGGTTTCCCAGTACCAAAGCACCGAGGTGGTCCTCGCCATATTTGAATCGACCACATGCTGTCAAGACAATCCCCGTGAGGTTGAGTGAGACGACGAATACGAAAAACTTCCTGTATGTATTGAACCAGAGGTCAAAAAGGATCCACCGGCTGATCTTTGGCTTTTGAGGTTTGGCTCCTGCTGGTTTCTTCACGGTAGTGTCCAGTGCAGCAGCATCTGTAGGTTTCCGTCCCTTTGGCAGTGAGAGTGAGAGCTCCGGTACGCTTGTGCATGGTGTTATGCCTTGGTGAACAGGAGAAGCGGGGAGCAATGACGAAACAGTATATGCCGACCTCTTCGGCTCCATATACACAAAGCCAGGTGCGGTCAACTCCAGTGTACTATCGTACATGCCCTTTTCTGCATCATCGAGCGAATCATCGCTACGATGGCTAGTAAGAGGGCTCTTCGGTGTGAGTGACATATTGCTGGTACGCGGGAACGAGACCAGGGTCCGAGGAGATAGGCGGGAGGACGGTAACCTTGGAAGGCAAGGGCAACTGACAGGTGACGTTGGCCAAATTGGTAACAACGCAGGAGCGTTCGAGTGAACAAAGATTGGTAATGAGCACAGGCTAGACTGGGTGCTCTCAAGAAGTACTTATTGGGGAAGCAGCCATGAGGCGCACTGTCGTGTCATCTGGATCATCAAACCTTGCGGCGACACCATCCACAATTCATCTCTGGAGTATACGGTACCAATGTCCGTAAGCATCACAGTCAGACGAGCCCGATGATGGCACATTGTCCCAGACCAGCTTCCGTCGATCCCGGATAGATAGCTACCCAGCTGAACCAGTTGGCGGTCGGCGCCTCCACTCCGTGCTCAGCTCGTGAGGGATTCCCCGTGGGGAGGGCAAGGAAACCCGGGACGGCCTATGTCGGTAGTTTCTGCTCAACGTTGGGTTAGGAAGACAACCCCACAGCCTCGATATCGATCCGGAGACTTCTCTCGGCCGTGACGACGTCGTCATAACGCATCCGATATTACGGTCGTACAGATATGTCGGCAGGCTAGGATCACGCGACGAAGGTGGAATATTGCAAGAATATACTAGGGGGTCAATGCGGTGGCTTCGGTGTGACGGCTGGAAGTAACTTTTGGTGAAAAAGACAGGGATATAGAAAGCAGTAATAAGGCGGAAGCGCACGTTCCCGATTTCGGGAGGTCTCTCAACCGCGTCTAGTTGCATTAGCGACGACGCGATAACGCGATAGTCAGCCATGCCGAGGCGCGCCCATCGCGAAGTCACTCAATCTAGCTAATCTTGATTTCTAGTTCTTCACGTACAGATCGACGTACTCGTCGATGTCCATGCTATCGAGCGACTTGGGGTCCTGCGCTAACGCGACGAGCTTGTCAACGTGTTGCGACGGGTAGTGCGGGCCGAGATGCCTCTTGAACTTGGCAAGAATCTCGGGCTTTGCTTCCTCACGACGCAACCGATGGCCAAGCGGAGCCTCGACAACCTCTTCCTCCAGCACGGTTCCGTCCTTGAGCGTTACGGTCAAGGCGTTGGAGATGGTGCGCTTCGCAGGGTCGTGGTAATCCTTGGTGAATTGCGGGTCCTCTACACAGCTAATGCGCTGGCGGAGAGACTCGACGAGTTCCGATGTAGCAGCTTCGCTGTCATCTGGGTAGTCAGTGGCTTCAAGGCGGTTGAAGACAAACATAGTGGAGACCATGTACTACCATCATGTCAGCACAGCCGGCGAACCACGAAGGGTGAGACTTACTTGAACGCAGTGATCACGGTCAGCAAAGTTCTCCATAGGCTTGAACTGCTTATCGATGATACGAATGCAGGCTTCATGCGTTCGGTTCACTACACCCTCAATGTCTTTGGCGCTCTTACCCATCGCAGCCAGCTTCTTGTTCAGGCGCTGCGCCGCTTCGACCGCAGTCTGTGAGTGGAACTCAGCTGGACCAAGTTAGTAAATGGCTCACGAGTAGCATTGACCTGAAGGAGTCGTCTTACCCGGATAAGAAACCTTGAAGAGAACGTTCTCCATGACGTAGCTGCCGTAGCCTCTCTGGAACTGGAAGGGCTTGCCGCCAAAGTTGACGTCGTAGAAGCCCCAGGTAGGGGCTGAGAGAACAGTAGGAAGACCCTGCTCGCCCTTCATAACCTTCAGCACGAGGTTGACGGCGGTCTGGCAAGCATCACCAGCGGCCCAGGACTTGCGCGACATGGTGTTGGGCGAGTGCCTGTAAGTACGCATAGACTGGCCATCGACAAACGCTTGCGAGATGGCATCCCGAGTCTGAGCCTCGCTGAGACCCATCATCTTGGAGACGACAGCTGTGGAGGCCAACTTGACCAGAATGACGTGGTCCAGGCCGACCTTGTTGAAGGAGTTCTCCAGGGCCATGCAGCCCTGGATTTCGTGT